ATAGTATTTAATCGATACAAGGAGATTGATATATACGATATATACGCCCCTTCGTGTCGTCTCAACATTACCTCGTCGTTCACCTATGATATGGCCACCGAAATATACGACTTCTCAAATACTAAGGTAGTATTTTACTATTTTTTATCTGTCTCTAGCTATTTTATGGAATTTTTTTTTTATTAAACGATAGTAAAATTACCATAATACCCCTGGAACTATTAAAAAATGCGGTGCTCTATGTTTGATTTCTTACATTTAGGCACAAACGAGTCGAATGTGGGGAAGAATGAAAGTGGGCCCGGGGGGCTACGACCCCTGCTACTCTAAATACGCAGAAGCATACTTCAACAAGATCGAAGTTCAAAAAGCTCTACATGTGACGAGTGGTCGCGTGAAATGGACCGTTTGCAAGTGAGCTTCGCTATTACGAGACTAAATTTACATATTGCGATAGTGTTATTACATATCATTTATTTACAAACTGTCTGAAATTTTATATTGTAGCGATTCGGTGTTTAGAACGTACAACTACACCGTATTTTCCGTCTTGCCTATATACAAAAAACTCATCAAAGGAGGCCTCAAGATTTGGATGTATAGGTACGCCCTCAAAATTCCGATTTTGCCCTCTGCATCGAATTTTATTACTAAAAAATTGTCATTAATATTTCGTTTGCGTAACAGTGGAGATGCAGATGGTAGAGTACCGGTTATAGGAACAAGATACTGCGTGGAAGCAATGGGATTGACAATCAAGAAACCATGGACTTCTTGGTTCTACAATAATCAGGTTTTATTTTATTTTATTTCAATTTTCAATCACATTATATGAATTGAAACAAATAAAAATATTTATTAAATGTGTTAAAGTAATGATGATGTCATAATTACAGGTGGCAGGGAGGGTGGTAGAGTATCAAGGGTTGACATTAGTGACAATAAGAGGAGCAGGTCATCTTGTGCCTCTAAACAAGCCTAATGAAGCTCTTGCTCTTATTCATGCTTACTTGTCGAATCACCCTCTTTCGACACGTCGATGAAGTCTTTCTTAAGAGTTTTTCCGTTGGTTTTTTTAGGCGGCACCACCAGTTCTCCGGCGGCGGTGACTGCCGGAGAAATGAGGTGGAATCCGTTTGTGGAAATGTAGTTGAGGTAATGAGGTTGATCATGTAATCTTTGTTTGGATAATTATATTTTCCAACATAATTCTCCTATAACAAGTTGTATTTTATTTCACTCTTCAAAAATAATTTAATCGTTTTTATAAGTAAATCTTGAAATATTTACTGATTTTTAATGTAAATAACATGAAAAATCAAATTTAAATATATAATTTCTAGTTGTAGTTGTAATAAAAACTTTAATTTTTTAACTAATTGTTGGTGAAATATATAAATTGTCCTAATAAATAGAATTGAGATTAAATTCTGAGCGGATCAGCCAATATTTAATATAAATCGGATTCCACTAATTTTTTGACATGTGGCACTTTTAAGTCTTACCTTTTAATAAATCACACTGATTATAATTAGGATTAGAGCGGTTATGGGTTCTGCTGGGTTTGTTTTTTTTTTTTTTTTTTTTCAATTATTAGAATCCTAATTATATTTTTATTTAAACTATCCACGTGTCAATCATACAATGACAATCGATTTTCCTATTAAAACAAATCATCCGGTCTAAATTTGCACCCAATAAAATTTCTAGGATTGCAATATGAAAAAACTGATTATAAGAAAAAAAGGAAAATCATAATTAGAATTTCAAAACCCTTTGCAAAAACCACCTATATATTATTTAATTAATGATGTATTAATACAAAAATATAAATTATTTTTAATTGTTAATTACTCTTCGATTAATTAGACTTACTAAAAAGATATGTTAAAAATTAAATAATATGCGGAAATACAATTAATTATTGCATAGTACAATTTCAATACTGTACCACCTTTATCTCTTCTCGCCATAGCCACCACCTTCACTTTCTCTCTCTAGGGCTCACTCTCTCTCTTAAATCCTTTCCGCACACTGAGGCTCTAGTACATGCAGCTGAAAATGTCATCTGAATTACTCAACAAAGGTGCCAAAATCGAGGTCCGGATGCAAAACGACGGCGTAATATGGTACACCGCCACCTTCCTCCGCTCCTCCACCACCAAAATCTTCGTGCAATTCGATACCTTAAGAGAGAGTGCGGAGGATCCCGAGTCGCCTCTGCGGAGGGATTACGTCAGTCCCGGCGATATCAGGCCGGCTCAGCCGCCGGAGATTCACAGGTACTTAAAAGTAGGGGAATCGGTGGAGGGTTTTTGTAGAGAGAGAATGGGTTGGAGGAGAGGGAAAGTTGTGGAGATACTGGAGTGTTCGAGGTATACGGTGTCGTTTGACGAGGGCTCTCTTGCGGAGATGGAACAGTGGGAGCTGAGAGCTGTTAGGGAGTGGATCGACGGTTCGTGGGCCCCACCTTTTCGTCTTCAACAAGTATTGCATCAGGTATGTGTGTGTATTTGTGTGTGTGTGTGTGTGTTTTCTATGTTGTTTGTTCTTTCTATGTTCAATATTTGTGTTGTTTATTACTGAAAACGTGCCTTTCTTTAATCGAATTCATTTGAAGCTAGCTATCGCCTAGATTTTATATTAGACTGATGCAATGATCTGATTGTAATTAATTTCTTGATTTTTAGTTTCTGTATATACTGGTTTAATCTTCACAGAAGCAAAAGAAAGAGGCTCGCGTGATATATTTTTAGATCGAATTCCTTAGTCGTACAACATTCTCCGTTTTATACAAAAGTAGTTTCGGAATTTCGAATGGGGATATATAATTTTGAAATATGTGAAATTGCAGAACAAGTCATCAGATTCACAAGTGAAGTCGAGGGGTCTAGTACTCAAGATAAAGTGTAGTAGAAAAGCACCCGAGGCGAAATTCAACGAAGGGATGTTGGTGGAGGTCAAAAGTGACGAGGAAGGTTTTCGAGGTTCTTGGTTTACTGCAGTTATTGGTAAAACCCTAGGAAATAATAGCAAGTTCTTGGTGGAGTATCGGACGTTAAAAACAGAGGACAAGACGGAACTTCTCAAAGAAGAAGTGGATGTTTCTTGCATTAGACCTTGTCCCCCTGTTATCCAACAGGTCAAACCCTATGACTTTCTCGAAAGGGTCGATGCTTGGTATAACGATGGTTGGTGGGAAGGCTACATTGTCCAAGTTTTCAATGCTTGTAAATACATGGTTCGCTTTACGAACATGGAAGAAGAAATGGTGTTCGAACATTGCAAGTTGAGGCTTCATCAAGATTGGGTTGATGATAAGTGGCTTGCAGCCTCTAAGGTATGCAATATTTTTTTTTCTTGCTTTAATTAATTATGGTTATTTTTATCGATTTTGGAGTTCAGTTTGCTGAAAATGGGGCGTAATGCGGACTAATGTTTCTTAGATATTTTTACCAAATTTTTGTGACGACTTAAAAGAAAACTCTAGGAAAAATCATAACGATCGAGTCTCTATTCAACAGAGTACTTCACTCTTTGATATTAAAGTTGGTTTCTAGACGAGTCTCGAAAATAAAATAATATATGGAGGACTCGTTTTAGAATACTCAATTGTGAATGGCCTAATGAGGAAAACATGTGTGTAGGCCAAAAACAAAATGTGGGCAAAAACAAAAAAGCACGCTTATAACCAAAATGCTTGAGGACTTGTCGATTACATTTGAAACTAAATAATGGAAGTAATTTTGAGATGAAAAGTAAAATTCGTTGGAATATCAATTGCAGGTAAATTTAGCTGATGAGAATTTGAAATCGAGAAATGGAAAATTGAAGAGGAAACATAGTGGGAATGCATGGGAGCCAACTTTCTGGAATGGTATGACTGTGGAGGTCAAAAGTGACGAAGAAGGTTACCAGGGTTCATGGTACACTGCTGTAATAATCGGCTCCTTGTGTAATAACATGTTTTTGGTTGAGTACAAGACACTGAAAACAGAGGATGAAACCGAACTGCTACGAGAGAAGGCATTTGCTTCGTATATTAGGCCTTGTCCCCCTGAAATCACACGTGTTGATCGTTACAAAATGCTCGAGAAAGTTGATGCGTGGTACAATGAGGGATGGTGGGTGGGCCTTATTTCCAAAGTTCTCGATGATTTAAAATACTCGGTATATTTCTGGACAACAAATGAAGAAATTATACTCGAGCATAGAAGTTTGAGGCCACATCAAGAATGGGTCAATGGAAAATGGATTGTCTCTTTCGGGGTACGATGTTTTAACGAAAAAAAATTCTCTACTTCATTAATCCTTTTTTTTTTTTATATATTTTATTTTATTTTATAATTTAGGATCTTTTGGAAAATGCAGGAAGAGCCGAAGTTGGTAGTACAAGAAAGAAGGGAATGCTGAAAGTAGTGTAGTGGAAATCGAGTATTAAGAATGTAATAAAAGTAGAGGTGAGAGTGTTTTTGTTGTATGTATGGGAAGCAAGTATATATATTATATATATATTGCGTAGGTTCCGTAAAGCTAATCTATAATCACTTGTGTGGTTTGGTTTATTCCATTCATGTGTTGTTTGCGCTTTTCCAAAGTGATTATGACTTTTTTAATGTTTAAAAAAAGTTGATTTTGACCAAAAAAGAGTTAATTGTTTAAATAATTGTGAGAGAGAAAACATTTTTTCCCTCTCCAAATTTCGGGCCTTCTCTAATCGGGCCCAAGCCCAAGCCCATTTCTTACACTATATGCTCAAGCTCAACAAAAGATGGCATTTTTATTCCCAATTAAACGCGATAATTAATCCGAAAGTAAAAGGGAAAGAACAGAAGATTTATTTCATGAAGAAATTTCGCTTGTTCGGATTTGAATTAGTAAGTATTTCTTGATTATTTAATCCCTCAATTCCGTGAATTATTATTATTACATGATGAATTCGTTCGATTCAAAAGATGGGTTCTTCCCCGACGAAGTCATAATCCAGATTCTGGCACGATTGCCCATCAAATCCTTATTCAGAACCAAATGTGTCTCCAAATCATGGTACAACCTAATTTCCGACAAATACTTCACAAATCGATACAACGAGGTTTCCATTCGAAACCCTATGGTCCTTGTAGAAATCAACGACCCCACTCTAAATTCGAAACCAAGTTTGATTCTTGTCGATAATTCCAAGGGCGTGTCTGAATTTTCCTTGGATTTTGTAAACGATAGAGTCAAAATCAGATCTTCTGGTAATGGATTGTTGTGCTGCTCCAGCATACCTGATAAAGGTGTTTATTACGTATGCAATCCGATGACTAAAGAGTATCGATTGCTCCCGAAAACCCGAGAGCGGCCTTTTTCTCGATTCTACCCCGACGGTGAAGCTACTTTAGTCGGATTAGCTTGTGATATATATACGCAGACGTACAACGTTGTATTGGCAGGGTACCACCGCTCGTTCGGGCATAGGCCAGGGAGGACTTTTACATGTATGGTGTTCGATTCCGATTCGAACAAGTGGAGAAAGTTTGTGACTTTGCAAAATGACAATTTTACCCATATGAACCGGAACCAAGCTGTGTTCGTGAACGGTGCGTTGCATTGGCTGACCGCGAGTTGCTCCTCGGTTATGGTTCTTGATTTGGGTACCGAGATTTGGGGGAAAATCGAGCTGCCTAGTGAGGTGACTTGCGAGGCAAGGAATATTCGGGTTTATTTGTTGGAGTGTGAGGGGAGATTGTCGGTTGTTGAGATATCGGATGTGTGGATGAGTATTTGGGTTATGGTTGGGGGTGATTATCGGGTGGGGGAGTGGTGCATGGTTGATAGGGTGAGTCTGAGGTGCATTAGAGGGATGGTGCCAGGTGTCTTTCCGATAAGCCAGACGAACGAGTGTGTGTTTCTTGCGACACATAAGCAGGTGCTTGTGTATCAACGAAGGAGTCGGGTTTGGATGGAGATGTATTCGGTGAAGCATTCTTCGGTTTTGCCTTTGTGGTTTTCTGCCCATGCTTTTCGGAGCACTGTTTTTTCTTGCAAGTAAATTGTCTGGACATTGGTGTACATAGTAATATTAGTAAAGTTTATTTTGTATCTCTTATTACATTCAAAGGTTATTGCATTTCTTGTGTTGTGTACATGGCAATTTTTATTTTATTTTGTTGATTTATTTTATCAATTATTGTTATTATTTTGAGTAGGACAAGTGGAGAACGATCGTAACTTTGCAAAATGACCAATTTACCCATTTGAACCGGAACTAAGCTGTGTTCGTAAAACGGTGCACTGCATTGGCTAACCGCGAGTTGCTCTTCGGCTTGGTTCTTGATTTGGGTTTGGAAATTTTGAGCAAAATCGAATCGCCTAGTGAGGTGACTTGCGAGGCAAGGAATAGTCGGATTTATTTGAAAGGGGTAAAAAAGGTATAAGTTTGTTATTTGGGCTTCCGTCAAATTAAAGTGTGTGCCGATCGAACCTAATTTGAGAGTGCAAATTGCCAAAAACCAGTGTTGGATGTCACGTGAATTTCATTCATGGGAACCATCCAAATCAAATACAATAATTATTGTTACATATTATTTTAATATTGATTTATTTAATGGGCAACCATGCAAATGAAATTCTAAAATTATTGGATACACATAAATTATTATTAATATTTTTTTGAGAAAAATAAAATATATTTATTAAATGAAAAAATAAAAGGAGAAAAACAATAAGCAAATTTATGTGTTATTTGCCCATGTTCCCTCTACATTCTAAAGTCGCACTTCAGCTAACCAATCTCTCTCTCTCTCTCACACACACACACACACACATATTCAATCTCTCTCTCTCTCTCTCTCTCTCACGCACACACATACGGCCGGGCGCGGACGCTTAAACCATCTCTGTATTCTCTGAGCTGCTGCAGGCATCCGTTAATCTTCCTAAGGTGGGTTCTTTCATTTTACTGATTTATTCTTATCCTGATTATTTTTTGTGTTTCTGACATGATTATGGTTATCTTTGGGTTTTACATGTATGTAATTGTTTGCATATCAACATGGGTTTCCTGTCACAGACCAAAAGAATATTAACAAGAATTGATTTGGGTTTTTGAATTCCAGAATTCTTGACCTAGGTGAATTTGAGTCCTTATATATTTCTGGTTCCGAATTTTTTATTTTTAAATCAAGCTTTTTGTTGCCTCTTTAATTTGGTGTATGCACTTCGCAATTTTTAAAAAATACTTTCCGTGTTTGTGAAGCATAAACAAGAAGAATTGTATACGAAATGATACAAGTATTCCGTGCTGCAGGTGTTTGTAAAATTGTCTGTGAGAAGAAGACCCTAGATTGTGTTCTTACACCTTAGCTAGAAACTATCAATTGATTCACAGATCAGAAAAGGGGTATATTTTAATGTCTCTGAGGATAAAAGCAGTCGTAGATAAGTTCGTTCAAGAGCTAAAGGAAGCTTTAGATGCTGAGATACAAGACAGAATTATGAAGGAAAGGGAGATGGAGAGTTACATTGAGGAGCGTGAGCGTGAAGTGGCAGAGCGTGAAGCTGCCTGGAAAGCCGAACTCTCTCGTCGTGAGGTACTCATTTTCACCTTCTATGTGTGCAAATTGAAATTAATCTTTTCCGGGAATTTTTGGTTGTTAGTATCGTGAGAGATACACAAAGTCACGAGAATAGTTTCTTGATGTCTATGTTGTTAGGGAGCCGGTAAATTATTCATTCCAATCTGTTTCTTTCAATGTGCAAGGCGTATATTTTGTACTTAAGGTATTTTATGTCGAATGGTGGGAATCTTGTCAGTAGTTTATTGCTTCTTTCTCTATTATGTCAGCCCGTAGTATTCATTTATTTTACAGAGTGAAATAGATGAAAACGAGCGTGAGAAGGATTTGCTGGTGGGGGGCACATCGTGTAATCTTGGTGATGCAGGTGCTTTTGAGGACCTCCGTGCTGAACCGAAGGTGTTGAGCTTCATTTGTTTTAAATGCTGTTGAGCTTTTTATGGTCTATTGAATCTAAATTTCTTAATTGTTAGCCAGGGTAATGAAGTATTTTATTGCAACTTTTTATTTCTCAGGAATACAAAGACACTCTAGCCCGGATGAGGGTTTGTTATGCCACCCCACCCCACCACAATATATTTTCATTTTTTTCATCAATTACTGTTCTCTTGTTTATTATTATTAATTTTCTTTTCAGGCTACAATGGCTCATCATTTCCTCGTACTTCTTAACACAGCAACCGAGTAAGTGCTATATTAAATGTATTTTTATAAGATAGGTTGTTGATGTTTTGCTCTTCTTATTTGCAGGGACAACTTGTTTAAGATCAAGGTATGTTAATATTTCTTTTCATGTCTGAAATTATGTTGGTACCTTTTTTCTTAATCGGTCTATATGTTTTTATGTAGGGTGTTGCAGCCGACAGGGTACAACTGATTCTTACACTTCGTCAAGTGTCTCCAATTGAAACCGTAAGAATTTGTATCCTCGATATTAATCGTTTTAGGTCTAGTTGTTGTTTGCAATATTTACCGCCATTCGTAACCCTTATATTTTTTACTTGTATAATTTTTTCTACACAGCTTGATGATGTGGCTCGTATCTGTCCAGCGACACTGTTCTCCGAAAGACAGGTTAGTGATTTAATTCTTCACCTTTCCAATATAATGTTTTTGTTTTATCGATAATTTATTTAATTGTGTCCAAGTCTAAATTTTGCAGGTCCAACGCTTGTTGAGAGACCTATTTATAGCCCTATACTGTGTTGAGACGGAGGTTGTGATGCCAACAAAACCATATCTTCGTTTATAGACTTATTTAGATTAACTATTGAATCTAAACTTGGTAAATGAATTAATTTCTTGCTATTTTTGATATCTCAGGAATTGGAAGACTTCCAAGTCCAGATGAGGGTTTGTTATGCCACGATACATCTTCATTTCTGTCATTCATATATTGTGTTCTCTTGTTTAATTTTTATTTTTTTCAAAAAATATTTCAGGCTGACATGGACGATGAATTTCTTGATTTTCTTAACAAGGCACCCTGGTAAGTGATATATTGAATTTATTTTCCTAGTATCTAATACCCTTATTATGGCTCTGTTTGGTTCTAATTCTGCATCAAGGAAAAATGAAATTATAGAAATTTAAAATCCCCAAGTATGTTTGATTTTAGGAAAAAACGGTGGTGAAATTGAAGTTTTTATTTATTTTTGGAAAATCATTTTCTTCAGCTTTGTTTAGTAGTTATAGTTAAAGATTGAAACTAAAATGATAAACACTGTACATTAATTTGTCTTCTATCAAAATTGAAATAAGATTGTTTACCTTATAAAAATCGAATTTTCACCCAAAACAAGTTAGCATGTAAAAAGTAAATTTTCAAATAATTTAGAATAACATCAAACGAAAAAGGTGATAACACGAAATTCAAACTACAATTTTCCAACCACAACAACAAATTCTGGCAGAGTTTATGTAAATTTCTTGCTAAAGTTGTCTTTATTCTCCAAATTTTTTAGCTAAAGTTCAAAGCTTTAGATACAGTTTTTTTTTTTTTTTTTTTTTTTTTTCTGTATCTATCTGGTTATCTATTAATCCCTTTAATTTTGAATTCAATTCAATTCAATTCAATTATTATTTGGCATAGTTTCTGTATATTATTTATTGCTTGAATAATACGATAGAAGTTTCACCTTTTTACTTACTATTTTCTGCAAACGAATTACAGCTTATTGACTTTTTGTTCTTATTTGCAGGGCAAACTTATTAGCAGTCTATGTATGTTATTATTACAAAAACTGACCGCCCTAGTGTTTCTTTCTTTTATATATAATAATGATTTTCATGTCTTCAATTATTTCGGCACTTTTGTTCTTATCAGTATATATGTTTTGATGTGTATAAGTTTGAATGCAGGGTATTGGACATAAAATGGCCGACAAGATTCTTGAACACCGTCCATCTCACACTGTAAGATAATTTATTCTCAATATTAATCTGCTATATTTGTTGTCTCAATATTTATAGCCATTGGTCTCCCTTATATTTGACTAGCATAATTTGTTTTCGGTACAGCTTTATGATTTTGGTTTGGGAAAATCAAAGGTTAGTTATTCAATTCTTTTTTCACCTTTCAAATGTTTTTGGTTTACTTGTGTCGAAATCTAAATTTCGTAATGTTGTATGATGCAGATCCAGAGCATCATGGTGGGCATGGCTCGGTTTCAGCTATACCCGGAGATTTGTATGTAATTCGATATGATTTAATTTGATTATTGCTATGTTTGTTTTGATCTGATTTAACGTTTGTAATTTGTTTGTGTATTTAACCAGATTCTCGCCGGACACGCACCCGAGGATGACAGTGTAGATAAAACGACTATAGTGTAGCTGTGATTAAAACATAGTAGAATGTACATTGTAATAAGGGTTTCTTTTTGTGATTAAAACATATTATTGTTTCTTAACTCTCTAATGCCATAGAGTTGAAGTTGGAACTATGTTCTATGATGTAAATGTTTTGGGAGGATGCAATTTATATTCCATGGGTGCATTCTGCTATTTTTGCAATTTAATTGTGTTCCAATCGTGTCTAATTTGAGGATGCAAATTGCCAATAAACCCGTTTTGGTTAAATACACAAACAAATTAAATACAATAATTATTTTTATACATATTATTTTAATATTGATTTATTTCATCCAAATGAAATTCTAAAATTACTAGATACACATAAATTATTATTATTATTATTTTTCTTTGAGAAACATAAAATATATTTATTAAATGAGAAAAAAAAAAGAAGCAATTTTATGTGTTGTTTGCCCATGTTCCCTCTACATTCTAAAGTCGCACTTCAGCTAACCAATCTCTCTCTCTCTCTCTCTCTCTCTCTCTCTCTCTCACACACACACACACACACAGACATAATTCAATCTCTCTCACGCGGACGCTTAAACCATGTATGTATTCTCTGAGCTGCTACAGGCCTATCTATAATCACAATATTTTGATGATCCGTTAATCTTCCTAAGGTGGGTTCTTTCATTTTACTGATTTATTCTTATCCTGATCATTTTTTGTGTTTCTCACATGATTATGGTTATCTTTGGGTTTTACATGTATTTAATTGTTTGCATATCAACATGGTTTTCCTGTCACATACCAAAAGAAGATTAACAAAAATTGATTTGGGTTTTTCAATTCCAGTATTCTTCACCTAGGTCAATTTGAGTCCTTATTTATTTCTGTTTCTGGATTTTTTATTTTTAAATCAAGCTTTTTGTTGCCTCTTTAATTTGGTGTATGCACTTTGCAATTTTTAAAAAATACTTTCCGTGTTTGTGAAGCATAAACAAGAAGAATTGTATACGAAATGATACAAGTATTTCCGTGCTGCAGGTGTTTGTAAAATTGTCTGTGAGAAGAAGACCCTAGATTGTGTTCTTACACCTTAGCTAGAAACTATCAATTAATTCACATATCAGAAAAAAAGGGGTATATTTTAATGTCTCTGAGGATAAAAGCAGTCGTAGATAAGTTCGTTCAAGAGCTAAAGGAAGCTTTAGATGCTGACATACAGGACAGGATTATGAAGGAAAGGGAGATGCAGAGTTACATTGAGGAGCGTGAGCGTGAGGTTGCAGAGCGTGAAGCTGCCTGGAAAGCCGAACTCTCTCGTCGTGAGGTACTCATTTTCACCTTCTGTGTGTACAAATTGAAACTTATCTTTTCGGGGAATTTTTGGTTATTAGTATTGTGAGAGATACACAAAGTCACGAGGATTGTTTTTGATGTCTATATTGTTAGGGAGCCGGTAAATTATTCAATCCAATCTGTTTCTTTTCAATGTGCAAGGCGTTTATTGGTTATTGTACTTAAGGTATTTTATGTTGAATGGTGGGAATCTTGTCTGTAGTTTATTGCTTCTGTCTCTATTATGTCAGCCCATAGTATTCATTTATCTTCTGCAACAAAAAACCGATGATCTCATGGATTGATAGGCATCTAAATGTTCATATTTTCCTTTGGTACAAGTTCTTGATTTGTATGCACGCAGTGATGTAAGTTGACGAGATTCCCCGTGAGATAAGTGTGCATACTTTTTGGTCAAAGTTGGAAGAATAATAGTTCCAACAGTGAATATCGTAGGGCACAATTCAGTTAGGTTACATATACAGGTTTATTGGTTTGTACATGATATAGTGTGTGTGTGTGTGTGTGTGTAATCAAGGTCTAGATGGTAATTAATGTGTTGGATTGGCAGAGAACCAGCTCTCAACCAAGTATGTAGATGTCATCTTTCATGGGAAGGTGTAATATATATTAGGAATCTCTAAACAAGAGATTAAGACTAACGAGCCTTCTTCCTTATTTAGGAAGGTTAAAAATACTTCCGAGGATGAAAAACGAAAGCAGAAAGACAAAAATTAGTCCATAATGGAACATATTGAAAAGGCATTATTCCTACAATGGAGAACTTGTTAGTATTTGCATGTATTGTATATATATCTTATACTTAAGCTTATATGCAGATATATATATATACACACACACACACAC